CCGGGGGACAGCTTGAGGCCCCTGTCTCAAAAAAATAAATAAATAAAAATAAAAATAAAATAAAATATCTTAATCAAGATGTTGAGATCTTAAGTTGCTCGTTGCTTTCCAGGAGTTTAAAACTAATGAAACCTATTTCTCAAAGAGGCTTAATACAAAGTTTCTATTTACCAAGAACGGATGGGTTGAGTCTTTTTCATGTTAATTTAATCACAACTAAATATTTTCAACTACAGAGTTCATGGACCTTTCTTTCCAAGAATTCTGAGGCGTAGGAAAGGAAAAAGAGACTTTGGGAAGACTATAACACACATTGTAGCAAAAGTGATGACTACTGAAATGGTAAGAAACATACTCTATTCTATTTGTTCACTTAAGTTTTACGTGCACATAATCAGGGAAGAATCTCCCTGAAGATAGACTCCTTGTCCAACTGACTCTGTGATGTATTATTTTCCCTATTATATCCAGCTTGGTTATTGGATTTATTTGTAAGTAAATACATATTGACAACTATTTACTGAGAGCTAACCTGGCTGTCAGGTACTATGCTAGCTCCTGTGGTGAGGATAAAACACAAATGGGAGACATAATGTTGAACCTGACCTTCCCCTCCCTCCCCAAGTCTGGCTTCTTCATACATCTGACAAATTTCAAGTGTGATAGAAATACAGACAAGTAAATAGGAAAGTACATTTGTAACACAGAGCGATAAATGCTGAGATGGGGTATGTACAAGGGTCTGTAGGACACAATTAGGAATCAGGCAATGCTGGCCTGAAAGAAGTAAATCAGCTAGAAGCTACAGGATGAATATAAATTTAACCAGCCCTAAAGCAAAAAATGTTCTAAGCCACAAAGGAGATAGTTCTATTTCGTTTGCTCTCTCAGTAGCATTTCACAGCTCTCTATTGAAATAGTCACTTTCCTTGTTTCATTGTAGTAGACGTTCATTCTGTCTAGTTTCTTTTTTTTGTTTGTTTTTCTCATGTACTTGAAATGCCGGGTACTTGCGTTTTCTTGGTACTACATTATCCCTAAATGATTTAGTTGCTCTTACTCCATAACTTTGTTGGTGTGTACAGATACTCACCCACAATTTATGTGCACAGCCCAGACTTTTGTTCTAAGCCCAAACCTATATATATGTCCAACTCATCACCACTTACTTGATCGTCTGGCAAGCACTTCAACTCAGACATCTGCGATTAAGTTCTTGATCATACACATTGACGTGCTTAAAGTCTAGAGTGCTCCGTTTCAGTAAATGGCCCCTGGTTGTTAATTAGAAATTTCTGGGAGTTATCTTAATCACGTTCCTCATCACCTTCAGACAGTCACTCTTTTCTCTCACTAAGCCCACATGTTAGATAAGCCATGTTGTTTCCTCCGCCTGCTGAGCCACTGCTCATCCTTTTGGTCCATTTAAATATTATTTCCACAGAAAAGGCCCTTCTCAACCTATCAGAATACATCAGACTGCTGTGTACAAAGATAGCGTCCCATGCTTTATCGTCACTTCCCCTATCATGAGTGTATCTAATGCTTTCTGTGGCTGGCTTGGAATGTCTTTCTCACTAGAGCATGAGCTTCTTGAGAGCAAGGAGTATTTACCACACAGTCAAGTCACCTAGCACGATGCCTGGCACATGGTAGGTGCCCAGTGGTTTTTGTTGAATTAATAAGTGAATGTTGACAAAAGAGGACGCAACATGTGACAAACTGCAAAAAGGCCACCACGGCTGGCTTTTAACCACTAAGAGGAGAGTGGTGAGCGATAAAACTGGCTTATTAGACTGGTCTTGTTTGACATTTTACCCACTTTCATAAGTCTCACCAAAAATTTAATGTTCCTTTTAATTGCTCATTGGCTCAGATTACTCAATAACGTGAAGTATTCTACCAGTATCTTTGTTAACATCTTTTAAAACATCCTTATAAAAAGTAAGGTATAAAGTTTGCTTTTAGTCCCAGTACCCTTATATCAGTTTTAGATTTTGCTCTCTATTTTACTTTTAAATATGTTCTGGTTTTATTTTCTTCACTTTCCTGTAAGACAAGGAGAAATTTCTTTGATTCTTATCTAATGTTGTGCCACCCTATCTTCATTTGTGTAAGCGTCCCTGAATTTTGGAGGCCAAGAGAATGAGAGGCAAACTACACAAAGAAGGCAGCAGTATCAACTTTCACTCGGACCTTTGATCTTAGATTTGCCTTTGAAGTTAACAAAATATTATTATAGTTTTACAGTACTCATAGGTATGCAAATAACCTTTAACAACTTTCTCAGCTTTGCAAATTCTTTATTCTGAATTCTTGCACTATGCTCTTTCCTCTTCAAACAGTCTTGTCCAAGCCCATCATCTTTATGTTAGTGATCTTGACAAGTAGTGTGGCAGAAAGACAGACTTTGTGGTTAAATAGCTCAATGTTCAAATACTCTATCTGAGACCCTTGGATAACTACGCAATCTTCAGCAAGAATGTAACCTATGTAATCTTTGGCAAGAATGTAACCTCTCTGAACCTCAATTTCCTTGTTTGCAGAGTGCTTTAAAAAGAGAGAGAGACAAAAAGAGAGAGAGAGAGAGAAATTGTGTAGTGTGCTGTTAAGAGCATGCCACCCTAAAGCCAAATGCCTGGATTCTTGGCTTTGCCACTTACTAGTTATGTGATTTTATTTTTTATTTTTTATTGAGACAGAGCCTCAAGCTGTCCTCCTGGGTAGAGTGCTATGGCTTCACTGCTCACAGCAACCTCCAACTCCTGGGCTCAAGAGAGTCTCCTGCCTCAGCCTCCCAAGTAGCTAGGACCACAGGCACCTGCCACAACGCCCGGCTATTTTTTGGTTGCAGCCATTATTGTTGTTTGGCGGGCCCAGGCTGGATTCAAACCCACTACCTTAGGTGTATGTGGCTGGCGCCTTAGCTGCTTGAGCCACAGGCGCCGAGCCTAGTTACGTGATTTTAGACAACCTATTTAACCTAGCTATGCTTTAGTTCCTCATATGTAAAATGGGGATAATACTATGTTCGATATTTACAGAGTTGTTGTGAAGGTTAATGAGTTCATCTTTGTAATGTACTTGCCATAACGCCCTCCACATAGAAAGTGCTCAATTAATGCTTACCACTTATTCCAGTGCCTGAACTGAAGTTAAACACTAGTCGTTCACCAGATCTAGGAGATCCATGTTTATCCATGGATATTTGATTATTGAGAATAGTCTTGCTCTGAACACCCATGTACAAGCATTTGTTTGACCACTTGTTTTCAATTCTTTGAGGTATAATACCTAACTTTAGAATTACTGGTCATTACCAGTGATTATTGATCACAGGCCTCTATGCTGTTCCTTCTTTGAGTCTGGAGACAATATTAGTGTGGTGGTGAAGAATATAGGCTTTGAGATCACAAAAATCTGTGTTTGATTCTTAATATTGTCTATTAATATTTATATAAGATGAAGTCCATTAATGGTTTCTCTTTTATTTCCTTATCTGTAAAAGAGAGTAATGAAGTCTATCCCATAGAGTGTTAAAGTGAAAAGATTTATATAAACCTTTCAGCAGAGTGCCTAGCACATAAATATCAACTGCTATTATTATTACTGTTTTGCTATTCATATCCCAGTATTATAGTCATCATTGTTGTTGGATTTTCCCTGTAGTGCTACAAATGGTGATACCCATTTCTGAAAATATACCAAGTACAAAGAAGATTTATCCAAAGTCTCAAAAAATAGACAACTAGGGTGGCACCTGTGGCTCAAAGGAGTAGGGCACCGGCCCCATATGCTGGAGGTGGTGGGTTCAAACCCAGCCCTGGCCAAAAAAATGTAAAAAAAATAGACAACTAATATTTATAAATAAAAATAGAAGATACTTTCAAAAAAACAGATCATGCCAAATCTTACAGACAATAGAAAAAGAAGAAATACTTCAAATTCATTCTACTTTTTCTGGATATACCTGGGAATGACAATTTCTTCTTCATTTTTTAAAAGAATAGTTTTGCCGAATATAGAATTGTTGATTGACAATTATTTTCTTTTAGCACTTTATATGTGTATACTTCCATGTCTTTCTAGCTTTCATAGTTTCTGATGAGAAGTCATTTGTTAATCTTATTAAAGCTCATTTATACTTAATGAATCAGTTCTCTCTTGCTGCTTTCAAGATTGTTTTTGCCTTTCAACTGTTTGATCACAATATATTTTTATGTTTCTTTATGTTTATCCTACTTAGAGCCCATCAAGTTTCTTGGACATGTAGATTCATGTCTTTCATGAAATTGGGGAAGTTTCTAGCCATTATTTTTTTCCAATAGTCTTTCTACCCTTTTATCTTTTTCCTGTTCTTCTGAGACTACCATATATTGCTATGTTTGATGGTATCCTACTGGTCCCTTTGGTTCTATTCATTTTTCTTCACACATGCTTTTCTTTTTTCTTTTCAGACTGGATAATTTCTATTGTCCTAACATTAAGATTGCTAATTCTTTCTTTCTTTCTTTCTTTCTTTCTTTTGCTGGGTTTGAACCTGCCACCTCCAGCATGTGGGGCCAGCACCCTGCCCTTTTGAGCCACAGGCTTCACCCTGCTAATTCTTTCTTTTGCCTGCTCAAATCTGCTGTTGAACTTCTCTAGTGAACTTTTCTTTTTTTAAATTTCAGCTATTGTATTTTTCAGCTAAAGAATTTCTATTTGGTTCATTTTTATCTCTGTGTTGATATTCTCTGTTTGTTTTTGGTTTCCTCTAGTTTTTTGTCCATGGTATCCTATATCTCTTTGAGAAAATTCAAGACAGTTAATTTAAAGTTAATTTAAAGTTAATTAAAGTTAATTTAAAGTCTTCATTAAGTCTTTCATTAAGGTAAGACAAAAGCCTTATCTATTTTTTTTTCTTCTTCTTTTTTTCTTTTCTTTGACAAAGTCTCACTTTGTTGCCCTTGGTGGAGTGCTATGGCATCATAGCTCACAACCTCAAACTCTTGGGCTCAAGTGATTCTTTTTCCTCAGCCTCCCAAGTAGCTGGGACTACAAGTG